TACATACATACATATTCTTTTTTTATCTGTGCATCATCATATTTTTTTTGATCATCATTATCGTTATCTATTTTATTATTTAATTTATTTGTAGCCTTCCCTTCATTTGATCTCGTTTGTTTTATTTGCAAGTGTTTGTCTTGGAATTGGTATAAACTTTGTAACTTTCGATCTTTTGCTCTTGGGTATGCTACTACTTCTTTTCTTCTGGTTCTGTAGTTAAGTTTTTTCATCTTTCGGTCTTGGGTATGTAGTTAATTTGCATTTAACTACCACTTCTTTTCTTCCAGTCCTGTAGTTAAGTTTTTTCATTTTTTGGTCTCGCAGCATATAGTTAAATACCACTTCTTCTCTTCTAGTCCTGTAGTTTAGTTCTTTTATCTTTCGGTCTTGGATATATAGTTAATTTGCATTTAACTGCTACTTCTTTTCTTCTGGTCCTGTAGTTGAGTTTTTTTATTTTTGGTCTCAGAATATGTAGTTAAATCGTATTTAACTACCACTTCTTTTCTTTGGTCCTATAGTTTAGTTCTTTCGGTCTTGGGTATATAGTTAATTTGCATTTAACTACCACTTCTTTTCTTCCAGTCTTGTAGTTGAGTTCTTTCGTTTTTCAGTCTCAGAGTACATAGTCAATTTGTATTTAACTACCACTTCTTTTTTTTGGTCTTGTAGTTGAGTTCTTTCATTTTTCAGTCTCAGGATATGTAGTTAAATTGTATTTAACTACCACTTCTTTTCTTCTGGTTCTGTAGTTGAGTTTTTTCAATTTTTGGTCTTGGGGTATATAGTTAATTTGTATTTAACTACCACTTTTTTTTCTGGTTTTGTAGTTAAGTTCTTTTATTTTTTGGCCTCATGATATGTAGTTAAATTGTATTTAACTACCACTTCTTTTTTTCAGGTCCTGTAGTTTAGTTCTTTCATTTTTTAGTTTTGGGTATGTAGTTAATTTGCATTTAACTGCCACTTCTTTTCTTCTGGTTCTGTTCTTGGGGTATGTAGTTAAATTGTATTTAACTACTACTTCTTTTCTTCCAGTTCTTTAGTTGAGTTCTTTCATTTTTTGTTCTCAGATATGTAGTTAATTTGTATTTAGCTACTCTTTTTTTCTTCTGGTCCTGTAGTTGAGTTCTTTCATTTTCAGCCTCGGGTATATAGTTAAATTGTATTTAACTACCACTTCTTTTCTTTCGGTTCTGTAGTTTAGTTCTTTGTCTTTAGGTTTTGGGTATGTAGTTAATTTGCATTTAACTACCACTTCTTTTCTTCTGGTTCTGTAGTTGAGTTTTTTCATTTTTCAG